ACCCATTCATTGTGTCATGTGGTATCCCATGCATAACAGTGTTTGTGTTTTGCGATCCAGGGCCCATGGTGTATGGAATATGTTTCTGTCCAGTTTCCAAAAAGCAGGAGCTGAAGGACTCAAAAGTGGCAGGTAATCCTGTTGTCCTGCATCTCTACAGATGAGAAGTCTTTCTTAGCGTGATGCTTTAAACTCATCCTCACTGCTTTCTCCTGAAATAAGCCAATTCTTTTTTCCATTTCTGATGCATTTTAACACTCTCTCATCAGATTCAAAGACTCTAACGGAGGCAGAAAGAGAGAATCTTTTCCAAAAGCTGGATGAAGCCAGAAGCTATGTGGGCTGGGCTCTGCAGGTTCTCTCACCAAACACCATCTCCACCAGCATGTTACAGAGGTACGTGGCACATGCAGTGTAACGCACACTGAGGATTGTTCTCTTCTTCATAAGCTGTGTTTTATATTCACACCCTGACGAGATGTCTGCTTGTGTTAGGACAAAATACAACCTGAACGCCCTTTCACATGACACAGCTATTGGTCTGGTCCAGTATGCCTTGGACAGTGGAGTGCAGCTCAAAGAGGTATGCCATTCATTTGAATATAAAGGTGGACACCTCGTGCTTTTGTTGTGTTGTCCCCATGAACTGTGTGCTGTTAGTGTATCGATGGAAACATTCAACATTAGACGGAATATATTTTCATTCTTCTGTCTTTCTTTGCTCTCTCTCCCGTCTTGCCCTCGTCCACCTCCCTGCTTTTCTGCAGGTGTTTGTGGACACAGTCGGCCCAGCGGAGAAGTACGAGGACAAACTCTCGAAGCTCTTCCCAGGTATCGATGTGACGGTGAGGCCAAAGGCCGACTCCCTCTTCCCCATCGTCAGTGCCGCCAGTATCTGTGCGAAGGTCAGTGACCCACAGCCAACTGGATCTCACGTCACAGTAGTCATGGCCGGTTGCATGGATCTCTGCTGCTGCTGCTACGAAGCTCTGTGTCCACATTTTCAGCTTTGTTCAAAATCGGTCAATAGCATTGTGTTTTTCAGGTGGCCAGGGATCGTATTGTGAAGGGCTGGAACTTCGCTGAGGACCTGGGAGATGTGGATACAGACTACGGTTCCGGATACCCCAATGGTAAAGGAACCAATCAACGGCTGTTATAATCCCTCCATAGTGACATCTATGTTTTAGAAGGACTTCAGAATTTACCTTATCAACAGATGTATTTATTTTTTCAAATTCAATGTCACTGCTAACGTTACCTAAACAAGACTAAAACTATTTTTTTTCTTCCCCCTCTGTGTTTTCAGACCCCAAGACTAAAGCGTGGTTGCTGAAGTACCTGGACCCCGTGTTCGGTTACCCTCAGTTTGTTCGATTTAGCTGGAGCACTGCTCAAACCCTGATGGACAGCAAGGGTGTGACGGTCCACTGGTAGAGAGCCTTCATACTTGATTTTGATCAAAGTCCTTAGATGTATAAAAGCAGAGGTTTATTTTGGGAGTTAAAGAATACTATTGAAACTCTGCAGCTCTCGTTGTCTGTGACTCTCCGCCAAGAAAATGACTCTCTCTGCTATTCAGTAACAAGAAAAAATAATTTTCTTGAAAGCATTAAAATAATTCCGGCCTTTAACCAACTCCATGAAAGCCAAAAACAACTTCTTAAAAAAATGCTTTTGAAAATTGCTTTTATGTGTGTATAAGAACCACATCCCCTTTGATCTCCACGTCATGCTTAATGTCTGTGCAAATCCTTTTGACTTAAAGAGACAAGAGCTAACCGAAGTGTAAAAATCAATCTTGTTTTATTCAATCTGTCCTCAGGGATGACGAGGACGAGGACGGGGAGAAGGCGGCCCAGCGGCAGAACAACAAGTCCATGTTGGCCTACTTCAGTGCATCGGCTGGAGGGAATGACCAAAACCCGACACACCAGACCCACCGCTTCTTCACAGAGCGCAGGCTGAAGAGCCTCGACACACTGTGACGACAACACAGTAGAGGACATGTGTACACACGGACCGGAAATCATAAGCTCTTTGTGAAGTTTCGCTACAGACGTGGACTTTGATGAAACATTAGACATTTTGAGTTTGTATCACCAATGCAGATGTACACAAAGATCTTTATTTGTCCTGTTTGTACCGTTTTTTGTTTTTTTTTAACTTTATAAAACTCATGTTTTGCTTTTGTAAGAGCCATTGTTTTAAAGTTCTACACAATACAAGAAAGAAAAAGGCATTGTTATGGAATGTGTTGCAATCTTCAACGCTAACACTGCCCTCTGGTGGCGATATGACAAAATACACCAGGATTTGAAAAGACAAACAAATACAAAAGTATCAAAGATATGAAAACCACTCGGCACAGCTTGTTCCACTAACACTGAGATCATAGGCCCCGAGTACTGCATAAAGACCATAGCGTATAATGTATGTGTTATCCTGTTTATCATATGGTTCCTGAGTTTTGGTGCATAAAACAAGGAATACAAACATGCATTATTAGAATTTTTTTTTTTGTCATTCAAACAAAAGGAAAGAAAGTTGTCAAATGTTGACTAAAACAACTATACATGATTTAAGCACAGCCTAAGTAAGATATAGTTTTAAATTATGATTCACATCAACTGTCTAATCAAAGATTAAACGGGCTGTCCTCGACCATCGAGATTCTTAGTGGAAACACTCGACTAATCCATTGACCAGTCTTGTGTTTACCAGAGATGTGCTCATAAGATTCTTGGTAATAAAGTCATTCGGCATGAAAAAGTATTTTTTTAAAGTGACTAAAGAGATCATAGTCGACTAAGACCAAAATGACTCATCAGTCTCTAAGAGGCCTCAAACTTACTGGTTATATTCTGAGAAACCACCAAAACAATTTTTGAGGTTCAGTACCCAGCCCTCGTAGCTTTTCTGTTAAATAATGAGTAACGGTTTGTTTTTTATCTTAATTTTATCTTTCATTATATTCTGTCTTAACCAGATCGATGGAAGTTAAAAGAGAAGATCACATTTGAAAAGCTGTCCCTGAACCACCGGCAGCAGACATCTTTAAGATTTTCTTATTTTCTATTCTTTACAGTTTAACATCTTAGATGTTGAGCCTAAACACTACGAGTACGAGGTAAACAGGAAGATGAGGTGTGAAGGTATTACTCCATACTGTTCCCCTCTTTAAATACAGCAGTAGAATCTGTATAATGACCCAACAAAGTGCATTTGACGTCGCATAGATTGATCTTGAAACGTTTGCCAAATGCTCATCTTCTTAGAAATGTCTGTCTCCTGTTGTTGTTGTTGTTGATCTGTCTCACGTCCTCTGAGAGCTTCCTTCTCTTCTGACTCTCCCGGCTAACTCTTGAACACACTTGAACTTGGCGTATGACATTTCACATGTTGCTATACGGGAACACAAAAGGCAGCTGGCTAAGAATGGGTGCCCATGTCATCAGAAAACATAAATACGTCACTGACTTGCTTTCCTAGCTTAACAAAAAGTTAAAATAAATAAAGTCATATCCATCCGTCCGCCGTCGCTAGTTCTCGTTGGGTTTGTGCCGAGACTCTTGGATCTTCTTCCCGCAGTTCATCGCTAGAGTGGAGAGCGCAAACGAGGACAGGATCATGATCGAGCTCCTTACAAAATGAGACGACGCTCCTCTGGAGGTCGTCCTCAGGACTCTCCTGCGGAAAGTCTCTCTGCCGAAGGCTGTGGTGGCCATCGCTGTCTGGGCCGCGGGCTCCATGGTTCTAGCGGTTTCCTGGGCGTACGGCGGCTGAAGGCGGCTAGTTCTTGGGAGGCCAGATGCTGGGTCTGCTAAAGCCTCAGCAGGAGATGTCTGGGTCTTTCCTTCCTGACCAACACGTGGAAGGGCTTGATCTGTTGTGTTCTGTCCGATTCCTTCCCTGATCCCTTCCTTCCCGCATTCATAACCTCACGGCGCCCCTCCTCTAATCCCTCTTCATACGCTATTGGAGCTGGAATTACCGCGGCTGCTGGCACCAGGCTTGCCCTCCAAGGTCTAATACTACGTCAATGGGATTTAAAATAGTTGGCACAGGCCTGCAGAGGATCAAGTGGACAATCTATTTCTGTCTATTAGATCACCGGTGCCGTTCTTTCATGGTGGATGAATGGAGTTGTTTCTGGGATAGAAGCTTGCAAACGGTCAAAGACTGAGGTGTGTGAATATATAATTAGAAAAGGTCATGAACAATGAAACTCAGTGAGACAGTCAGGCATGATGGTCATTCCTGCACGCCTTCATGTGTTGCTTTCAATGCTAAACAAATGCTGCAAATATTTTTCTTCACAATAACCACAACGGAAAAGAAGCTCTTCACTCCTCTATGTTCTGTGTGCACTTTTGTTTGCATCACAAAATAACTTGAATAAAAAATAAAAAGATGAAATATCTCCCAAAGCAAGTGTTTACAAAAGCGTTTTGTTAACCAAAAGAAAAAGCCTGGTTTTAGCAGACGATAACGACCAACGATGCACAGGAGGTGATGCAGATTAGAACCTGCTAATGTTTGGCAGCTAGTTTGCTTTTCCGTTGATTATGAACTGTGACTGATAGCAGAAGAGCTGCCAGATGAGTCACTGTAGACGGTTGTCCACTATGACTGTACTGCTCCTTCTCATAGATGAGATAAGAGAGCAGAGCTGTAGAGAGGCTGAAGAGAAGATCAATCAAACATTCTGAGAACATCTGATTAGGAAACAGTACAGGACAATTATACAATAAAACCAAAATAAAAGTTAAATTTGTCATTGTTTTCTTATTTACTGTCTACAGTCAGGGGACATAGTTTGTCATTAAGGATTTTTATTTATAAAAGTTTATATTATATACAGTATATAAAACAGTTATCAAAATGGGTCTGTGAAATAATTAACTATGAATTATAAAATTGTGTTTTATCATTAAATGTTGCATATACACGGATGGGGACCATTTGCGCCAATAAAACAGACGTGTCCATTACTCCCACGCACGTTAGCTTTGTGCCAATAGAAACTGATTTGATTGTGACACGCAGCAATACGTTTATACAGTAATTCTAATAAGCACTTATTGAATTTGGATTCTTTGGATTGGTTTAAATACCTTGTTATATTAGAACTATACCAGTCTTGCTATTGTTCATGTTTTTGAAACCTTTTAAGGTTAGTTACTTGAAATGTAGGCTATGAATGCCTCAAAGACAGACCCAACTAAAAGGGCAGCTATACATTTATTATGTTTAGATATGAAAAGTATTGAATTATGTTACTGCTCTAACTATTTATACCCTGAAATAACTTACTTACTTGAAATATGCAACTCACCTGCATATACTGTGTGGTTCTACTTCTGAGGAAAACGTAGCAGTGTTTTATTTCAATGACATTTACTTGACAGAGAAATGTTTCTGGTAACGTTGCAGATTCAGACAAACATTCAAATATGATGCATTATTCATTAGACTATCCAGCATCATGTTAGAATTCAAAGCTCCACCTTGAACAGACTTGAAGCCAATTTAACTAGATGTGCTGATGATGCCTCTCTTGCACTTGAAGAACACATTTGAATGCAGGACTTTACTTTAGAAACCTTTTGTACTACTACTTCTACAACATGCCGATACCAGCATTCCCAGGTAGAGAAATGGTGAAAAGTAAAGCAAGGTGTTGTTGCCTGGAGACCTCCAATCACTAAATCATTTGTACCGTCAGCTGTGGTTAGTGACTGTTTTCAGCACCGAGGACAGCCCCTCTTCACTGTGACCCGGCTCACATGGGTCGGCAGGTCTCTAATCCCTGAGGTCATCTCTTTAATTGGGCTAATTGGATTGCCCCGGCTCTTTTCCGCTAATGACACGGAAAGCTTTCATGAATGAATGTGTGGCGGTGATACAGAGAGTCAGAGAAAGGTACAAGGAATGAATAGAAATGCAATATTGGAGTTATGTGCTCTGATATAACCAATGGTTTTCCGTTTAATCACATTTGTATTCTTTAACTTGTGTATACAAATCCAAACAAAAGGACCCAAATACATGAACTTTCAGACCGACTACAGGGTGTTCAAGCAGTACTTGCTGAATGAGGTTATTATTGATATCAGGACTAATACGTAGGTTAGAAATGCGAAAAATATGTGCAAACAAGCAAATACATGACACTGTGGATTTGATTTTGTTTAAAGTTCCTCTTCAAAATGAATTCCTGTGTGTATGAGACCATCAGCTAATGTCCCAAGACAAAATACACATATGTGTGTTACTTTTAATTGTTCAGTTTAAAACACTGTAATAGATAATGAACTTGTAGTTAAAAAGTAATTTCGCCCATTATGTTCCGTGCAGTAGAAAATCACAGACAACCTGCGCCTCTTATTAAACTTATCGGATGACACGATGCATTTTGCAAATGTCATCATCTGCGTGGGCGACCTTTTGAGGATTTCTTCATTAAACTGCAGAAACTACAGATCATTCAGCGATTTCCTCATAAGTCATCACTTTTATAATTCGTATGTGTTGTGTGTTATATATATTCCCACGACCTCTGATCCAAATGGAGCGGCCTGATCTCAAGCTCCTTCTTATCTGTGAATCAGCAGTGTTTCGCTGGTCTCCACAGGCTCTGTTGTGCCTGGCCGTCAGATTCAATTATCTCCGTCTTGCTCCCTCAGGTGCCTGGACATTTTTTTTCTCTTGGCCCAGTCAACAGCTATGTCCCAATCCAGCGGCTGCATCCTTCGAAGGCTGCCTTTGTAGAGCAGGAGCAGAGTTAATGACTCCACTTGCCATCACTGGCCATTATTTGCAAATGTTACTGTGAATTTAAGTTCTTACCAATCCATACCATTTTCATATTATTTCCTCCTTTATTTCTGTCAATACCCTTTACAATGTATTATCATTAGTTTCCCACTGAGAATAGTGTGTTGTGTGTCACGTGAGCGCCCTCTGCTGGGCCCCTGCAGACTTGAGTGGTGCGCCCCGTTTTCTGCTGCACGTTGTCTCTGCCGTAGGTTGATCTGTCACGAGCTCCGTTGGAGTATCTAAATAAGTTGATTTTTGTTCGTAGAATTGTGTTTCCTACAGGCTACGTGTTAAAGAGGATTGATCATTTCTATAGCAAATGCTTTATAGTGTAATTTGTGGTAATTTGTTAAATTCACCACAGTCCATAACTTGCTAGTTTAATGGGAAATCTCCGTGGAGTAACATGCTAACCAACAGCTAGCTAAAATAATTGTTTCTTTGCTTTGGCAGTTCCCAGAGCTTGTTGCCGTGAGGTGGGCTGTGAGAACCCTAATGTGATTCATGGTTCCATTTACCACAGCAAGTCTTCCAGGTCCTGAAGCAGCAAAACAGCCCCAGACCATCACACTACCACCACCATATTTTACTGTTGGTATGATGTTCCTTTTCTGAAGTGCCGTGTTACTGTTACGCCAGATGTAATGGGACATACACCTTCCAAAAAGTTCAACTTTT